ATAGTAAAAGCCTCCCTACCCTTAACTCCTGGCAGCCCTGATTTGTTCTTTGTCCTTATAGTTTTGTGGAGAATGTCATGTAAGTGGAATTTTACAGTCTATAGCCTTCTGATACTGGCTTTTTTCCATAAGCATAATACATTTGAGGTTCATCCACGTTTCTGAGTTGTACTTTATTGTATGGATGTAACACTGTATATCCATTTCTCAGTGGAAGTCACATTGGATTGCTTCCAGTTTTGAATGATTACAAATAAAGCTGCTACAAACATCTGCATGCGAATCTTTTGTGTTTTCATTTCTCTAGAGTTAATACATGCAGTTGGAATGCTGGGCTAAATGGTAAGTACATGTTTAACATTCTCAGAAACTGCTAACCTGTTTCTTAAAGGAGCTCTACCATTTGGCATTCCCATCAGTATGTGAACATTCCACTTGCTCCCCATCTTTTGCAGTTCTTGGCATTGTCAGGTTTTTGACATGAACTATTCTTAGTAGGATACAATGTTCTATCATTGTTTTAAAATTCTCACCCAAGGATATTTTTTAAAAATATATATTTTTATTGATTTCAGGAAAGGAGAGAGAGAGAAACATCAATGATGAGAAAGAATCACTGTTAGGCTGCCTCCTGCACACCCCACACTGGGGATCGAGCCTGAAACCCTGGCATGTACCCTGACCGGAAATCAAACCGTGACCTCCTGGTTCATAGGTTGGTGCTCAACAACAGCGCCATGCTGACCAGGCACCCAAGGATATTTTTTCCATTGATTTTTAGACAGAGTGGAAGGGATGGGGAGAGAGAGGAAGAAACATCAACGTTAGAGAGACACATCTAATGGTTGCCTTCCGCTCACGTCCAGACCAGGGCTGGAGATGGAATCAATGAGCCAGGGCTCATTGTTTTGATTTGCATTTCCCTTCTGATTAATGATTTGAGCATATTTTCATGTGCTTATTTGTCACCTGTATATCTTCTTTGAGTAATGTCTTCTTAAAAAAACCTTTATTGAGATTATTACAGATGTCCCTCTTTTTCCCTCCCATTGTCCCCCTTTACCCAGTTCCCGCCCCACCCCAGGCCTTCGCCACACTATTGTCTGTATCCATAGGTAATGCATATATGCATATAAGATCTTTGTTTAATCTCTTCTTGGCCCCCCAACCCCCTTCCCTCTGAGAATCATCAGTCTGTTCCATTTCCATGCCTCTGATTCTATTTTATTCACCAGTTTATTCTGTTCATTAGATTCCTTATTCGTTTAACTCAATTGTTGATAGGTATGTATTTGTTGCCCTATTGTTTATATTTTTTTCTTTTTCTTCTTCCTCTTAACGAATACCCTTCAACATTTCATATAGTACTGGTTTGGTATTATATTAAAGCTTCTTTAGCTTTTTCTTATCTGTGAAGCTCTTTATCTGACCTTAAATTCTGAATGATAGCTTTGCTGGATAGAGTAATCTCGGTTGTAGGTCCTTGCTATTCATCACTTTGAATATTTCTTGCCACTCCCTTCTGGACTGCATAGTTTCTGTTGAGAAATCATCTGACAGTCATATGGGCATTCCCTTGTAGGTAACTCACTGCTTTTCTCTTGCTGCTCTTAAGATTCTTTTTCTTTAGCCTTTGGCATTTTAATTATGATGTGTCTTTTTTTATTGTTTTTTCTTTTTGCTCTTCTGGTTGGGTGTTTTTTGCTTCTTCATGATTCAAATGATTGATTTCTCAGAATCCTCTACTCTACTATGAATCCCTGTATATTATTCTTTATTTTGGTCAATGTATGCTTAATTTCTGACTGGTCCTTTTCCATTTTTTTTTGGAGGTTTCTAGAAGATTCTTGAGTAACATGATAACTGTGGTTTTCAACTCTATATCCAGTAGTTTGCTTTCTTCCATTTCTTTCATTTGTGACCCATTTCTTTGTCTCCACATTTTGGCTGCCTCCCTATGTTTGTTTCTACGTGTTGGGTAGAGCTGCTATGTCTCCTTGAGTTGGTAGAGTGGCCTTGTGTAGTAGGTGTTTTATAGGTTCCAATGGCCCAACCTCCCCAGTCACCTGAGCTGGGAGCTCTAGGTGCACCCCTTTATGGGCTGTAAGCATAGTCTTGTAGTTGAGACTTGATTGCTCTTGGTGTCAGTGGGAGGAATTGACCCCCCACCAGGCCAATTAGCTGTGAGGACCAGCTGTGATTAAAGTGGGAGAGCTGCTGTGCAGGAGACACCCCTATGGAGCAGGACTTGCTTCAGTGGGGCTTTGGTGCCCACTGAGTCTGCCCCTTGAGTGTGTTGCTTATGGATGTTTAGAATTGTAATCTGGTATGGTCTGACACTGACCACTGGGAACACTGGCTATTGGGATTCCAGGGAGGTGCAAAGTCAGCCACTGCCTGGGGCCACCCAGCAGGAGCTATAGAGAGATCTGCAGATTCCTCCTCTTTGTATCATGTTTGGAAGTGCCCAGATGAGGCTCATCTATGAAGCAAGGCAGGCTTGTGCAGGTGCCAGGTGTTGGGCTTTTTATTGATAGGCTTGGGGCCTCCTGACCCAGTTGCAGCTTGTTTGAGAGATTTTAGCTTGAGGGAGGTCAGGCCATAATAGTTAACAGCTTGGGTGGGGTTGTAAATTGGATGAGCTTGGGTCTTAGGGAATCACCAGGGTGGAGCAAACAGAAATGGCTGCCAGTCAGCTCTGCGACTGGGGAGATCCCAGCATAGGAACAATGATCCCTGCAAGCACCTTTATCTGGAAGAAATCCACCCCATGAATTCCTGCCCTGATGCCAGAAAATCTAGTTCCTCCTTGCCCTGGTGTCTGTATTCCACAGAGCCTCGCCCTGATGCTGGAGCTCAGAGGAAGCGGGACCTTGTAAGTTCAGTTTTTTGCTGGCCTTTTAAGAGGAACAGCTGGGTTTCCAGCAGCTTCTGTGTCACTCAGCCCCAATCTGCACTGGTTTTTACAGTCCGTTGTTCTTACTGCCTGTAGAGACTTCTTTTCCCAGCTCTGGGACCCTGGGCTGGGCTTCCAGTGTGAGGCTGGGACCCCTTGCGCCTCCAGACGGCCTCCACAGAGACTATCTCCTTCCTGATTAAAAAAGCAGCCCACGTGGGTGCCAGACCAGCCTGTTCAGTGCCTCTGCACCTCCTACCAGTCTCAGTGTGCTTTCTTCTTTATTTCTCTAGTTTTAGGGCTTCCATTCAGCCAGCATTCCAGTGGTTCTGAATGATGATTATTCTGTATTTTAGTTGTAATTTTTATGTGGTTGTGGGAGGCAGTGAGTATAGGCTTTTACCTATGCCGCCATCTTCAAATCTCAAGTAATGTATTTTTGCCCATTTTTAAGTTGAGTTGTTTAATTTTTGTTGTTTAGTTGAAGTTCTTCATAGATTCTGCATATTAACCCTTTATTAGATACATGATTTGCAAACATTTCCTCCCATTTGTGGGTTGCTTTTTCATTCTGTTGATTTTGTCCTTTAATGAATAATTTTTGATTTTGATGTAGTCCCGTTTTTTTCTTTTGTTACCTGTACTTTTACTGTTATATCTAGGAAATCATTGCCAAATTCAATGTCATGAAGCTTTCCCCCTGTTTTTTTTTTTCTAAGAGTTTTATACATAGTTTTAGCTCTTACATTTAGGTCTGTGATCTATTTTGGAGTAATTTTTATATATGGTGTAAGGTGAGGGTTCAGCTTCATTCTTTTGCATACAGATATCCAGTTTTCACAACACTATTTGTTGATCTAATAGTGTCTTCTGAAGAGAAATTTTTTTAAATTTTGATAAAATTTAACTTATTTTATTTTATGAATCATGCTTTTGGTGTCCTATCTATTGAATCTTAGCTATCATAAGATTACAAAGGTTTTCTATGTTTCCTTTTATGAGGTTTTTATACCTTTAGGCTTTACATTTAGGTCTTTGGGTTAATTTTTGTATATTGCACAAGGTATGGATCAATGTTTTTGTTTTGTTTTGTTTTTAGCATTTAGTTACTCAGTTGTTCCAGTAGTATGAGTTGAGAAGGCTGTTCTTTCTCTATTACATTGCCTTTGTGCTTTTGTAAAAAATCAGTTGTCAATATATGTGTGAGTTTATTTCTGGAATCTTTGTTCTCTCCCATTGATGTATTTGTCTGTCTTTATGCCAATACCGCAATGTTTTATTTTATTTCAATTACAGTTTACATGCAATATTATTTTTTATTACTTTCAGGTATACAGTATAGTGGTTAGACAATCATACTTTACAAAGTGTTCCCCCCAATATTTCCAGTACCGGCCTGGCAAAATATATAATTATTATAATA